CTACATCTCTCTCTTTCTTCTTCGCTCTCCATAGATATGTGGGCCGTAAACGAATGCAAGTAGCTCAGCCGGAGGTGTCCGTAGAGGGTATTAATAATCTTGTGGAGGCTGATTACTCATATTGGACTCTAGGTTATGCCCTTTCACAGCAGGGGGCCAAGAAACTCCTCGCTGCTCAGCCATTTGGCAAGATGCTCCCTGTGGATGAGTTCCTGCCAGTCATGTTCAACAAACACCCAAAGTAAGTGTGACGCATGGATGGGTGTGTGGATAGATAGATTGATGGACAGATAGATCAATGGACAGATAGATCAATGGATGGATGCAAGGATAGATTGATGGATAGGTCGATGGATGGATGGATGCATAGATAGATACATGAATGAATGAATGGATGGATGGATGAATGAATGAATGGATGGATGGATGGATGCATAGATAAATGCATGAATGGATGGATGGATGCATAGATAGATACATGAATGGATGGATGGATGCATAGATAGATACATGAATGGATAGATGGATGGATGGATGCATAGATAGATACATGGATGGATGGATGGATGCATAGATAAATACATGAATGGATGGATGGATGCATAGATAGATACATGGATGGATGGATGGATGGATGGATGCATAGATAGATAGATGAATGGATGGATGCATAGACAGATACATGAATGAATGGATGGATGGATGGATGCATAAATAGATAGATACATGAATGAATGAATGGATGGATGAATGGATGCATAGATAGATACATGAATGAATGGATGGATGGATGCATAGACAGATACATGGATGGATGGATGGATGCATAGATAGATACATGGATGGATGGATGGATGGATGCATAGATAGATAGATGAATGAATGGATGGATGGATGGATGATGCATAGATAGATACACGAATGAATGGATGGATGGATGGATGCATAGATAGATACATGAATGAATGGATGGATGGATGGATACATAGATAGATACATGAATGAATGGATGGTGGATAGATCAATGGATGGATGCACAGATGGATGATAGATCAATGGATGGATGGATGGATCAATTGACAGATAGATAAATGGATGGATACGTGGATAGATTGATGGATATATAGATAAATGGATAGATGGATGGATCAATCGATAGATAGATTGATGGATAGATTTTTCAGAAGCTTTTACACACAGGTACACACTGAGGCAGTACTGCTGAGTGGGACAGACACAGTGCTAGATTGTTCAGAGTGGGGGAAAAAGTATGGTGTCCCTACTGGGTCACACAATGGCTGCCTTTCTACCCAGTTTCCTCTATTGGGAGGCGTACTCAGCACTAGCTGTGCCCCCAGCATGTGTCGCCTTTACTGGCCTTTCTCACGCCTAACACCCTCATTACCCTGCGGTCCTTCTCCTCTGTTCTTGCATTCTCTGGGTCTCTCTCCCTACTTTGTGTAATTTTGGGTCCCAGCATTCAAGGGACAAAATTCCCATTGATGGTTCTCTGAGTTTTGGGGGAAGGGCCATTGGTATAAGACAGATGGATTACTGTGGAATAAATATACTCCACTTTCTGTGTGTTTGTGGTGTGTGTGTGTGTGTGTGTGTGTGTGAGAGAGAGAAAGAGTCATTGTGTAACCCAAGTGTGTGAATTTAGTGTTGTATTATTGTAAAGTATAGTAAATAATGCAATGTTTTCATGTTGTTCAGATAGCTTTACCCATTATAGAATAATTTAATTGTACTAAATATACATTAATGTAAAACATTAGTATGCAAATATTAAGATGAAGAACGTTTAGGGTCAGTAAGATTTAAAAAAAAAAAATTTTTTGTAAAGAAATTAATACTTTTATTCAGCAACAATGTATTAAGGCAATGGCTGTTGAAAATTAGCTTTGCCATCACAGTAATAAATTATATCAAAAAATTAATTATACATCAATTGTGTAATTTTTCTCATGCCCTTGCTTTTCTTCTCCCCTCTCCTCATGTTTCTCTCTCAGTACGGCATACATGTCTCACTTTGATCCCAGAGATCTGTGTGCTTTCTCTGTTGAGCCGCTGCTGTTGTACCCAACACACTATACAGGTGAGCCGGGTTACTTCAGCGACACAGAGACCTCCACTATTTGGGATGACGAGGCCATCAGCACAGACTGGGACAGACAATATGCTAAAAAAACTGCTCAGCAGGAACAAATTCGCTCCGTTGCTCAGAACAGTGTCACCGGGGACACACCACCGCCTGCGTCCCGAGCCTCGCGAGACGAACTCTGAGTCCTCAACGTGTTCTCAAACTACACAACTGAATGACAAAACACACTTGACTCAGACAACTCACTCCTCAATGTCCAGCAGTCCCCTCCTCCTTGGCGACACTTCGGCCAATAGCATGACAGCTGGCTGGGATGCTTGAACACCATTGGCTGGCTAGTTGATTTTACACAAAGACACACAAGCGCCTTTTGTTTTCACTTATTTATTTCATCATGCCTTCCAGGGACCAAACTGTCCGCGGTGGACACGTCAAAGTGTTTGAAGGATGAAGAAAAAAGGACCGGATGGAGGAACATAGACATATGGGAGTTAGATTTGGGTTTGCTAGTGGATGAACAAGACAGATGAATCTTTATTTTAATGTTTTCTTTTATTATTATTTTTTCTTTTGTAATATAAAAACAGATATGGTTTATGCGCAGAGTACTGAATAAAAGAATCCTACACAGCCTGTCTACATTTCTACTGTATATTGTCAGGAAGGAAATTATAAGTTGATATATATATATATATATATATATGTAGCATCACAAATTCACTTTTAAATGTAATTCATGTATCTAATATATATTAGAGCCATTAATTAAGAGCAGTGGTTACATACTTTTGTGGGGAGGTTGTTCAAATCTGTCTTGTTTTCGCATAATTCAGTTTTATTGGATCTAATACTCTAAAACTCTATCTAAAACACGTTGAATTTTCTTAAAAGGAGAACATGTGACTTTTGACACTGGTGATTAAGTATATGATTTTTTTTTTATGAATAAGAGCAACTGTACAAGAACAACTGTTCAAAGTGTGTGTGAGACAAAAGGTGTTTTTGTGTTATTGTGAACATCATATTGTCACTAATTCCTTCCAGAATATTCCAGAAGGCTCATGTGTCTTAAAAAGTGTATGATTCTACTGGGCATTATGTCAACTATCATAATTTGAAATGGCTGGATGCAAACGCCCTAATTTTTCCAAACACACTCGTATTTTTCCACTCAGCAGGCTGGCTCCTGTTCTCTGACTGTTGATTTCATTACCATCTTTGATATCTGAAGATGTCATGGTGCGGGTGGTGGGCTGATTCAATAAAAGTGACTGATCAATAATATAATGAGTCTAATAATGTCTGTGCAAGCTAACAAAATTCATAGCTTCAGATTAATTTTGGTATATTGGCAACCTTTGTGTGCTTGGGTAGTTAAGTGTCTTCTTCAATAACATGTACTACCAGCAGCCTCTGGCTGTTTCTGTGCTAAATACTCACTAGATGTGTGTTGAAAACTCCATTCAGTGCAGAAGAGATGTGTATGTGTTGGTTTATGGCTAAAATGGTAAGCTACTGCATTTGGCAACCAAAAACATGGCACACCAAACAATCTAAAAACATTGACCATAAATAAGTTTGCTGTTTCAGAATGTGCTGCCAATTTAATGTTTATGACCAGTGAGTAAACAAGAGATGTTTACACAAGAGTGGCCTGTGCTAAAATGTCTTAGGTCTTTGCCATGTTAGTGTTGGTAGATTAAACCATTAATTTAATTTACTGAGGAATTTAGTGACATTGATGTGGCAGAACAAAAAGAGCAGCATTTCCTCCAGTAAGTAATGGTTTCCCTTAAACTTCTTGGTAAAAAGTTTTATTAATTTTACTAGCAATAGTTGGACAGATTGACTATGTATTTCTTAATATGAGACATGTAAGCTACGTTCAGTCATACAATGACACAAACATATGACACATATACAGTAGCTGTATTAGTATATTACCGGCATTTCGGTGGTGCACATTATGGTGGAAATTCAAATAAATGTTCAACGCAGTCTATTTCCTGAGGTAAAAATGCCGTTGTTCATCCGTGCTGTAATATTAGGAGACACTGCCATCTGCTGGAGTATGGTGGTGTTGCATTTCGTCTGTGAAATAATGTTCAACGGTATGATGGGTAATGAGGACCCAAAACATACTTTCATCTCCTGCCTTACTGGAATTTGGAATGTTTTCTGGCCTCTAGAGACATTTAAATCATCATCCAGGTGGGATGACAACGCATTTTTTTTTGTACTTCTTAGACATACACAATCCAAACATGCTGGTTCATGCTCTCTTTTACTGTGAAATACTTATATATACAGTATAGTTTGTCTCTCTTTATTGTTCTAACTTTATGGAAATAGCTGTTTAATATGTATAAATAATGTCCTGAAAAACGGATTATTTAGGTTATATATCTTAGGTTATGTGTTTCCAACATAACTCATACATACAGTAGGCCTACCCAGCACACATTCACAAACAATTTTCCATTATACACCCAGTGGCTTAATTATCTGAGACGAATGTTTTTACTATGAGCGGAATGAAGGAAATACTTTGTGTGTGTGTATTTGTTATCACTATTTACCATCAAAAGCCACATGATTCAGAAGAGACTTTAGACACTACAGATAGTTTTTTCACCAGTTTGTTTTGAATGGTAAAATTCTATAATTTGTTTTCATAATTCACACTTGAAAACAATGTCATCTTTGTGCATTAACAGAATGGCATAAACACCAGTAATGACCACTTAAGACAGAAATAGGGATTTTTTGTTAAAGAATAAAAAAATAAAAGACAGCTCCCAAAAACAGTTTAAAAAATGAAAACAACAAAGTACAAAAACAGTCATGTACAGAATGCTGAACACACACTGTACACATATAATTACAGATAGGCCTATAGTCTCATTAAAACACAGGATCAGTAATTCTTTTGGAATAATGTAGACATAAAAATACAAAATACTGTTCATCATTCACACAAGCTATGAAGCGGTTGTAAATAGCAGCCCTTATACCAAGCACCACATAAATATATTCCCTATCACCAAATACTAAAAAACTGATTACAAAGCTGATCAAGATTTAACTTTTACAATGCTTAACAAATCTTAATGTACTCGACATAACTAAGCCAACAGAGGTTGAGTGGGATTATCGTTTGTATTCTGTTGCTCTCTCTGACTTTCTACACCACTTTGGCCTTCATAGTGAATCTCTTCATACCCCCTGCTTGATCTGAAGTTTGAAAATCTCCTTCTGCGTTTCACCAAAATGACAATTCCTGCCACAACAACTGCGATAAAAGTCATTACACCACAGGCCACACCAGCCTTTTCACCTCCTGACATCCGGGTAGATGATGCCTGAAACCTTCCGACTATTTGAGTAACTTCGCCAGCCTTTGCTAGTCTCCATTTTTTGGTTTCTCCAACCCTCAGCCAGGCCCGATCACCTTCTGTCATCACAGCTACAGTGTTTGTTGCCATCATGTTGACCAGAGGTGGTCTTGTGAATGGTGGGAGGCGAATAGGTTTTAACTGGCCACCAGTAAACTCACCTGATTGGACACAGTACAATACCTGACAGCCATCGCTAATGGCAGCAAGGTGTTGGCTGTACTGAGGTGGACAACGGTATTGGTCCCCTGCAAGAGGGTTGCCAGATCGACAGCTAAAGAAACCCCCAAATGGCACAGAAGATACTGTTCCTGCCTCGTAATCATTGCTCAGACAAATCCTCATACCATTAGTCAAAAATGTTTGTGCAAAGTAATTTGGAGGACAGTCATGAGATTTGGTCTGTGGGTTTTGTAAAGATGGTCCGAATAGACCTCCAAAAAGGTATCCAGAGTATTGAGGTACTGTCTGACTTGTGGAACACCAGTAAGTGTTGATTTTTGCACGACGGACATAATAAGCATTTCCACATACATTGTCACAACAATCAAAAATTAACCAGCATGAATGACATTCCCTATGGCACTCATATTGATTGTAACCCTGCTCTACTGTCTCTGAGTGTAACAATGAGGCACTGTATGGTTGACGGCACGTATAGCCACCAGTATCTGGATTTTTTTGCGCAAGCTCATCACAGATGACTTTTCCATCTTGCGCCGAAGGAGTGCATATTTGGTAAACACCACCAAAGGTCAAATTGGTGACTGGACCCTTGCAGGACGAGTCGTTAACATTAGCCTGAAAGTAAAAATTTGGGGAATTTGGATCTACACATCCTGGAATGGTGTTTATGTTGTAGTAACGCGCTGCTGCCTGTTGGACTGAAAGGGCAAGCTTATGTAAAGTTGGAACTGGAAGATCAGGAAACATAGATGGATTGAGGAAATAGTGCAGTGGCACACCAGACCGGTCTATAGCCACTAGATTATTTTGAGTGCTCTCTTGCCACTTCTGCAGAGTGATTCCTTGGTAGAATAAAGCCCCACCGTGGCTCTGAACTAAAGAATATGTAATGTTTTGCTGGTAAGTGATGGTTTCTGAAGTTTCCTGGGATTCCTTGCTACCAAAGTTAAAGTTAACCTTGTTAAAAAAGTTAATGCCTGCTGATGCAGAGACAGAAAACTTGTCTGACTCACTGCTAGAGACGTAAGACCTTTTTATATAGTCCTCTTGGACCAGAATGGCCCCGGCATCGACGCTTGTGATGACATGGGTACCATAATCAAGTATGAGTTTCTCTGATAGATAAGTTGCTAGGCGTGTTTGATTGTTCTCAACAGCGTCTGCGATTTCTCCAATCTGCTGAGCAAAGCGAGAGTCCAGAGTAAAGTCAGGATATGCATTCACGGTGTACAGATGATTGCGCACCTGAGAAGAAAAAGAAGAAAGATAAAACAATTACATCTAAATAGAAAATTAAATCCTTTCCTGGTAATTTCGAGATCTGCTTTTTAATTTCTACTGAAAAAAAATAACTTGTAGGAGCAGCCAGGTATAATTGTTTTCTCGTTAATTCAGAGAAACTATGGAACGATAGCAGGTATATTTAATTAAATTAAGTTTATAAGTTCAGTGAAATAGCCTAAGATATAAATATCAATGTGAATATAGAGGCTATGTCATATTTTATGTGTTCGTATTAATAGTAGTCGATTCAAAAAACAAAACATATCTTTGAACAGACACATTCTTAGAAGATGAAGAGAACATAAAAATAACCAGACTTCTACGTAAGTGAAACCGAAAGTGAGCGTGGCGCAAGCGGTTAAACTTCTCTTGCGTACGCATATTGCGTACGCTCTGAGATTGCGCTCTATTTGACAAATTCTTAACAACTTTTCCTAAAACGTATCATATTATATTTCTCCCTCCTTAAGAAGTTAATAATCGCTTCGTATTAAAACAATAAAAGTGAACAATTTAAAAATACGCTCTTACTTTTTTTCTGCCATTGAAAACTTTTCCACTTTTCAGACTCACCTGAACTCGTGTTGTTGCGGAATTCGTCCTCACTTGGTGTGTTTTCATGCGTGTATTTTCTTCAGAGAATTTTCCGTTTAGCACTGGAGGGAAAGAAATGTCTGCATTGATGGATCTTGATGTGGAGCTTTTCTGTTCCAGCCATGACATGATGGTCTCAGAGTGAGTTTCCACTCCGCTTGTTTTCTGTGGAATGACAAAGACTTCATCTGGAATGAGATAAATGCCATCTTCTGTGGTCTGACATTGGGAATAGCTAAAGTTCATCACCCGTCCCACATCTATGTTGCGCAGGTTATCCCAGCCTCCACCTGGGAGCACCTCTAGTGCTGTTAAACTTGAGTTCATGCGACATTCACGAAGGCCATTACTGGGTCGGATGAGCGCATTAGACTTCCAGATAACGACGAAGAGCATTAGGAAAATGTGTAATGACTCCATGATCTAGAATGCTTTCCCCCTCACAAATTTTTGCCTTATATCTTACTGACAGGGGGTGTGACCCTGGGAAATTTTATTTTCACCTTCAAGCTAAGAATACAGGCTCAGTCAGAAATTTCCCAAATAAAAGACATTGCATGTGCTAGGTGATTTTAGGAATGTTATTGTTTATATAAAGACAGCACAAATCTGATAATTTCACTAGCCTTGCTAAAAAAAAGAACATGGCTTGCTGCACTCTAAAAAATGCTGGGTTAAATACAACCCAGTGCTGGGTAAAATAGGGACAAACCCAGCAATTGGGTTGTTTTGTCCCAGCGGTTGGGTTACTATCCAGAAGGTTGGGTTATACATTTAACCCAACCGCTGGGTCAAAACAACCCAATTGCTGGGTTTGTCCCTATTTTACCCAGCATTTTTTAGAGTGTGGTCGTAGATGCTGTTTCAGTTTTTAGATGGGTTTTGCACCATTTTCTGCTGGTTACAGTCAAGATATTTTCTTCAGCAGTGAGATCATAGCTGTTTTCTATTTAATTATTTACCTGTGGGTTTATGAATAACAACACTGATTAATTAGTTTGAACACAAATTATTATATTTATCCAAAAACAAAATGAACAAGCAACTTCAGTTTTTTTTTTCATTTACAACAAGCCAAAGAAAAGAGTCTGTCCTCATCTGTTTAAATGTATTTTGTTTCAAAACAATTGTTTCATCATTTGAGGATCCTTTTGACTTAATTAGAGATCTAGAAATGAGAAAATTCATTTTTCTCTGTGCAACTAAAACAGCTGAACAGCTGAATGTCCAGTGTATGCAAGTGCTGTAGCTAGTTTCATTTTGTTGGGACTCTCCAAAGTCCTGCACATTGCAAAACTGTCAAAGATCTGATATTAAAAAATATTTCTGAAATCTTGGGTTGTCATCTGGGAATTTTAAGGGAATTTGTTAAAACAAAGAGAGAGAAGGTTTATCATGAGAAGATTTTTTCATGGTTTAGCATTGAGTACAATACATCTGTTACATCTTCCTTGCATTTGCATATCTGTATTTAGACTATTTTATTTATTTATTTATTTGTTTCACAAAAAAGGGACAGTGTACATTAATCAACATTCATGAATGTAAATTAGCCCGAAGGCTAGTTTTCATTGGTAGTCCCTTTGCCGGATGTTACTAGGCCAAAAAACTAGAGGAAGAAAAGAAACAAAATAGAAAAACAATAACAATGAAATTCAACCAAAAATTATAAATAATTCTCCAAAATACAGTTAAAAAATTATACAAAATTACAATAAAAAAAAATAAAGAATTAAAGGGATAGTTGATAGTTGGGTGAACTAACCCTTTAAGTAATAAAAAAAAATTGGTTACACTTTACTTGAAGGGGTGTGCATAAGACTGACATGACACCTTCATAATCATGACATGACACCTACATAATCATGACATGACACATGTCATGAATATGAAGGTTTTTTATGCATGTTTATGACAACTGTTATTAAGTGTCATTCGCTCAGTTATGTAATTTTTAATGCAAAGATGACATTGTTTGAGATGTCTTTGTTATGGGCTATGGTTAGGGGTAAGGGTAGGGGTAGGGTTAGGTTAGGGTTAGGTCAAATAATGTAATATTTGCATTAAAAATGACATAACTGAGCGAATGACACTTAATGACAGTTGTCATAAACATGCATAAAACCTCCTTCATATTCATGACATGTGTCATGTCATGATTATGAAGGTGTCATGTCAGTCTTATGCACACCCCTTCAAGTAAAGTGTTACCAAAAAATTATATAAAAATCAACTTGTCAAGATAAATAAACAACATTAATGTTCACATTGTTGGTTATGAAGAAGCCATTTCTTAAAATGATGCTTAAATTAGTTAAATGATGTACATTCTTTAATTGATTGTGGTATTGAATTCCACTGATGTGATGCTCTGAATGAAAAAACAGCTTGACCAAACGAGGTTTTTCTATGTGGAATTATGCAATCAGCTTTAGCTGCACCTCTAGTTACTTTGTTTTCAATAGATTTAAATGTAATATAATCAACCAGAGGAGGAGGCGCTAAACCATGCATAATCTTATAAACTAAACAAACATTTTTAAACTTGACGTTTTCCCAAATTTTAAGTGCTTGTTTGTACAATAATTCCAATGGTTTTAGAACTATAGAATGTGTATTAGACCAACTTGTCAGAAAATAAGTAATATGAGAAAGAATCATATAATGAAAATATACCTTTGCAGCCTCATTTGATAATTTCTAATAAACCGAAAATTAACTAAATTAAATTTTACCTTTTACTTACCTTTTTTATATGTGTTTTAAAACCAAGACATAAGTCCAAATGAACCACAACCTGTAATCTCTCTCCCAAAATGAAAATATCCTGTTTTATATCAACACTATGTCTTTTAGAAAAGAACATACAAGCTGCTTTTGACACGTTTAATTTCAGATAACACTGATTGAGCCAGATTGTTGACACACCATGGGTAAATCATTAATATACATGCTAAAGAGAATTGTCCCCAATATGGACCCTTGTGGAACACCAGTTGAAAGGCATAGTGAATTGGATTTATAATTATCAATTTTTACTACTTGAGAACGGGAAGAGAGATAAGATTCAATTAAATTTACAGATTTTGTCGAAAAATTTAAATTGAATAATTTATGTAAAATAATATTATGATTTACAATATCAAACGCTTTTTGTAAAACAAGAAATACAGCCCCTACCACTCCACCTTTATCCATTAATGCCTATAACTTTTCAATAAAATAACATGTAGCCGTTTCTGTTGAATGATTTATCCTAAAGCCGAACTGCATCGGATGTAATTGGAAAGGACTATTATTAAAATGGTCAATCATTTGTTTAGTGACCAGTTTTTCAAAAACTTTTGATATTGTGGGTAGGACACTAATTGGCCTATAATTGCTGGTTAAACGGGGGTCGCCTTCCTTAAATATAGGGGCCACAACCGTCAGCTTCCGAGAGGTAGGGAATCTCCCTTGATCTAATGAAATATTAATGATATGTGTTAGAGAGTTAACTATTGAGGAACTAATTTGTTTCAATAAAAGTGTGTCTTTAGTGTGTGCCCTTGAGGACTTAAGAGACATGACTACTTTTTCAACATCTAACTTAGTTACTGGTCTTAATACTAAAGCTGTCTCACTATTTGTTCGTAAATAAGGTTGTTGTAGTGTGAAACTTTGCGCAATTTTATCCACTGATTCAATAAAATAGAGATTAAGGGCCTGTGCCACATCAGTTGGGCTCTGTAAAATTGTATAATTAATCTTCAATTCAATTGGCCTTGTTTTGATATTATTTTGTCCGCTTCATTTTTAAATCTGTCTCCATATAGTTTTTGAGTTACCATGAGCATTTTCAATAATTGTGATAAAAGATTTGCCTTTGCTTTCCTTAATACTCTTACTACTGTACCTTATTTCTTAACATTACAAATGTATCATGAGCCATCTTTGATCTTGGTGCTAATTTTAAAGCATTATCACCCGTTTCTTCATTGATTTTTTAATATTAGCATTCACCCTGGGGAGGGACTGTTTATATTTCCTCTTGACTGAAAAATCACTAATTGTAGATTGTAACTTTTCTGTAAAGGTTTGACTATCTATTTCTGAATCTGTAGTATGTAATAAATCTTCCCAGTTCATATTTTTTATAGCTACATTAAAATCATCTTGCTTATTTTTTGGAATACCAAAGAATTCCTTATTACTGGTGTGTATATCGAATCGCTTGTTAGTTAATTTTCTAGATATAAGCACCATATTATGATCTGTCAACCATGTTATCATATTATAAGACTGTGTAATGCTTTCCAGTCTATTACTAAATATTAGGTCAATTTGGGTACTAGTACTATTTGTTATTCGTGTTGGACCTTTGATCATTTGAACCAGATTAAAACCATCAGTGATTTGCTTAAGTGTCTTCCTCACGGATTTGTCTTCCCAATTTAAATTAAAATCACCCATAACAATAACTTCTATATATTATTTACTAACAATAACTATTTCATATATTGTGTATTTTTTATTATCTGTCTTGTCAGATAATATGTCAAGAAAACAAAAAAAAACCTTGTCAAGACCGATAATAAAAAATACAGTCTGTACTGTGGAAGCTTCTGTTACTAAGACAAATTTCTTGTAGCCTATGTGTAAACATACTTGGCAATAAAGCTCTTTCTGATTCTGTGCTTCATTAATGCTCTTTATGTACCCAGTAAAAGGTATAGAAACAAGCAGAAAGACTTTAATCATCTAAATACTGAGTTGTAAATTTGATAGCAAATTCACATGTATGCTATGACTGACTGATGATAATTAATATTAAACATTACTATTATGTCACAAAAGAGGTAATGAACTACTTGACTAAATTGCACTTAAACACTGAAATGATGAATTAAGAACTGAGAGCAAAGAGTAATTGAAAAGTGAAATATAATGGCATTAAGTACTAAAACTTCCCGTTAGGTTGGGATTGTACGCTTTTAGTTTACAATCATGAGAATGCTGAATGTATGCAGCTCACTTATCCATGGAATGAAGACATAAGATGCTTTGAAATGTGGAATGGAAAACTGTCCCAACTGGTTTCAACATTTTTTTTACGTATAAAACACTAGCCTATCTGTGACACAAGCAAACAGCCTCACACAACAGGAAACTCAAGAGAAATGATCAAAACTTTAATAGAATTCTTCATATAGAAATCTGCATTTCTATTTTTATTGACCAAAACATTTCTTTAAAATAAGTAAATATATATTTGAAAATGTGTGTGCAAGTTCATCAAGAAGAAAAACTAGTTTGATTTTCAAACGTTCATGAGGATCATGACATAAAATCACTGAAGGAGATTCAGAACCTTGTTTGACATACTTACTTACAAATAAACAAGATAAAGTGTCAATAAGTCCAAGGTGACTGTCATACAG